ATTGGGGGAAAGAAAAAAATCTGATGTGGCGGCTATTTTCACCGAGTTTCTCTTCTTCAACCCTAGCGAACCAAAGATGGAAAAAAAAAACAACGGAAAACTTATATCCTACGTGGCCACGAAAAATCTGATGTGAAGGCGATGTAAAACTTTTCCACCGAGTTAAAAAACGAACCAAATAGACCCATAAGGCAAAAAGCTGACGTGGCTGCAGTTTTCGTCGATTTCACGAGGTTGATGAAGGAATTGGGGAAGAGAAAAAAAATCTGATGTGGCGGCGATTTTCACCGAGTTTCCCTTCTTCAACTCTAGCGAACCAAAGATGGGAAAAAAAAAACCGACGGAAAGCTTATATCCTACGTGGCCATGAAAAATCTGATGTGGAGGCGGTGTAAAAATTTTCCACTGAGTTAAAAAACGAACCAAACAGCCCCTTATAAAAAAAAAGTAAAGAAAAGAAAAAAAAGATAAACTACCTCACGATTAAAACTGCAGACGTTAGCAAGCAATTTGGGTGTAGTAAAAACTTCTACTTTCCGAAAAAAAAAAACATAAAATAGTAATTTCAAAGCATAAAAAAATGGTAAAGTATTAAAAAAGTGGGTTTCACGTCCTTAAAAAAAATAAACTATCAGGGGCTGTTTGGTTCATTTTTTAACTCGGTGGAAAAGTTTTACACTGCCTCCACATCAGATTTTTCGTGGTCACGTAGGATATAAGCTTTCCGTCGGTTTTTTCCCATCTTTGGTTCGCTAGGGTTGAAGAAGGGAAACTCGGTGAAAATCGCCGTCACATCAGATTTTTTTTCTCTCCCCTAATTTCTTCCTCAACCTCATGAAATCGACAAAAACTGCAACCACGTCGGATTTTTGCCATATAAACAAAAGTTTTCCTTTTTCCTATGCGAACCAAGCACAAGAAAAATAAATACATTGATTTCCCACCATTTTTTTTGCAAACCAAAGCGAAATAGTATATTTCTTAAAAAAAATCTAAAAAACTCAAAATTTGTGTTTTTATACATAGAAATGTATTTTCCGATATCTAAGAAACGAACCAAATAGCCCCTCAAAGTAAGTACCACTTGCGCAATTATGCCCCAAGGAGAGAGTTTTCTACGCCGGACCCTACACACAAAAATGCAATCACATTCATGGGCAAATATGGGCTGACCAGCCCATTAAGCTAACTTTCGCAATTATAAATTCTTACCCGGGTCCTTTTCGTCATTTTACATCTTTTGCCCCTCTCCCATAAATAGCCTCCTTTCTCGCTAGGGTTCGTAGTCAATCCATCATTTACCTACATCCTCTTTACCTCATCCCTCAAATCTTTTCCCTCTCTCTATTTATTTGATTAATTTTTCCCCCGAGTTTTTGTTATGTATTTATTTTTTCATTTTGTGAAGGGGCTCGTCGATACAGGGGAGAGCTGTGTATAGTAGCTCTGAAATACACGCAGGTTCTCTGTGTGGTGCCCATCAAAATATGTTCCGAGCCCAAAATCAAGTTTTAATTGGTCTCATAGTACGGGCTATGTGCTTTTTATGTGGGATTTCTAAGGAATTTTAATGAGATGGATTTTTTATTTTCTAAAAAATGAAATCTCATTGTTTCCTTCTTTTCCCTTCGCTAATGACCCTCACAAGCTCGCCTCCAATGACCATTACATTGTAATTTTTTTAAAAAAATATTTTTTTTTCCTTTGTGGGGTGTTTTTGTGCAATAATCATTACCATTTTGATTATTATGATGTGGTGTTTTGATTGCCCAGATTATTTTCCGTTTTAATATTGAATTAATAGTGTTGTGTACTGATTTAAAACTGGGGAGAAATTTTAAAAAAAGATCTTATTTTAAAATTTTACTGGCAAAATTGATCTTTGTTTTAATTAATTAGCAAAATCGATTCTTTTAACCACGTTAGTGGTGACTAGTTACAAAACTGTTAGTCTTGTTTATACTTAAAGATTTAATTAATCTGTGATTAATGTCTAAATATACAAGATTAGTATTCCCTTGTATTCTAAAATTTATATTTTGTAAAACCTCTCTTTTTTATGGGGCTAAAAGGAGTCTGTTTTTGCTAATTAAATAAAAAAGGACTATTTTGCTAACAAAATAGATCAGAAATTTTTAAAGAAAAAATAAGATGTTTTTTGTCCCTTCCAGGCAATCTGAAAATAATCAAATGATCGATATATTTAAGATAATTAAGTATTTTAGAACTTTAAAATTAACATTTTTTAAAAATTTCCCCGTTAAAGATATTAAAATGTATATAAGCTTCTTGCCGTATATTGGTCTTTTTAGGATTGTCCTTCATATATGATTTTTGCTAATAAATGATTTAGTTAAGATAAAATAAAAGTGCAATTCAACATTTTAATGATTAAATTAAATCGATATTAGAGAAAACCTATTGTAAATTTATATTTCTCATAATTATATGGACACTAGATAGTTCCTACAAACTTTTAACTTTCTGGAAAAGTTGTGTACACAAGCTTAGGGTTGGTCCGGGTTGACCTGCGAGCTTACTTGGTTCTGCTTGTCATGGGTTGTGATCAGATCGGGTTTAACCTGGCTCATAATATACCCGGGTCACGAGTACTCCAGATTTGTGATTATAGAAGTAAGTTCGGTTCATATTGGCTCAGTCCATGTTCGATCTGTTTATCTAATGATATATTTTTTGGTTAGACTAGCTATTATTTTAGCCATTTGGGTCTGGAGCTAGCTACTAACGAAGCTAAGATACCATAGGTCTTCGGCTCATGAGCCATTTGGTCTATTAAGAAACAAAACAACAATCAAACTTGTCGCCTTCTACCTAGAAGGATTAAAAATTTTAATATAAGTTTAAAAAAAATTTAATACATATTTAAATTATTAAATGATAAATTAGAAATGATTTTATAATTATAATTATAAGTATAATATAATTAAAAAGGTAAAAAAAAAATTGGACTAAAATTTGATGGATTGACCCAAGGCTATGGATCAGTTTATGCCCGACCCGCCCTAAGCGGGTCATAGGCCATGCTGGGTCTAATCCCATAGTCGAGATTAGAGAAGTAGATTCGGTCTACTCTAACTTGATCAGTAGCCTAGTCTTTGAACCTAATGGGTCAGATCACGGGTCTGAACCGGCTCGATCGACTCTCACCCTACACAAGCTGGTTTAAAAATGGTTTAAAAAATTTCATGTCAATTAACTAAATGTTAAAATTTAAAAATGAATTAAGATAATCTGTAGGATGTTAGCTTTTTTATTCTATAAATTTCTTTCTTTCTAAACATATATTAATTTTTTTTCTTTAATACTTCTTTTAAAATTGTGCTAATAATTGACTTCAGAGAAAGTGAATAACTTCTGATAAAAGACGCTCCATACTGTGTGTGTCAACAAAATAATATTGTCATAATAGTAAACTTTTGTCTGGGCTTTAGAGCGGTTATTGGCCCGCTTAATAGAGTTGGGCTACAGAGTGCTTGTTGGACCAGTTTTCAAAAGATTATTCCGTGCTGTACAACAATAAAAACAAACAGGGCACACATTTTACTTCTCCATATCTCTACCCAATTATCTTTAAATGGGCGGACGATTGCCCACATTATGCAATTTAAACTTTGAGATAATTCCAGATAGAGACAAAACTACAATTCAAAAAGAGATGAACATCAGGTTCCTCTTTTCCACATAATTCAAGAAGTTAACTAATAGTCATTTTCGAAACGGAATTCTTTCTCATTATGTGGTAATTAGAAAAAGTTTAATTTTCTAAATTTTTACAGTTCATATCACTCCCAATGAATGAGACCACTCAACGTAAAATTTTCATTGTTATCTTGAAGTCCGCTCTGGTCCAATAAACTTGAACACCATTACAGTCAAAATCACCAGCAGAAGTCTTACGTGGTGTGATATCATTCATCGGAATTAAGATAGACAATAAGGATCGAGAGAATTAGACTATCTCAAATCACCAACAAATCGGAGAGGATTTATGTTACGATTAAATCTGATTCCACTATCCACAGGGAGATGATTAAAAAATTAACTGAAAAATCTCCTCCGGTACCCCCCATTCCCACATTTTGGTGTCTTCTTGAAATTCGCAGAATTTAAAAGCTCTATTAGCTCAAATAATAAAAATGTTAATGATCGTCTGATTCTGATCATCACGTGGTTATCGTATAGGAGTTTAAAGAACTAGAAAGCAAACGTACCACTAATGGAACAACGGATGTATTTTATTCTAATAAATTAACCAGCTACCTCACATCTGTAAGTAATGCTAGAAAAATAATAATAACTATACCATAATACTCTATAATGCGCATGACAGCAAGCAAAAGATGACTTTTGTTGCTAACAGAAGAAAACTAGTAGGTGATTAGGCTTCAATCGAAGGGAATCAAATGAACAATAAAAATAATAATTAGCAGTTCACCGACACCGACACGCAAATCTCCGAAACTCCGGCGAATTTTTGCTTTCAAAGTCAGTTACGAGACTTTCGCTCTCACTTATTTATTTATTTATTCATTTATCATTTTGGATCGATTTTGAGTTACGAGCATGAGTTAACAAAGTGATCATGTCCTCTATAGTACACAACAGTAAAGTCTTCAGTATATAGATAAAATATAGTCTCATTATTGGAATGATTTGTTAATTGTCAATTTTCTTGTAAGTTAGATAGCGGTAGTCGTCTGACGTATTTTTCTTTCTTTTCATTTCCTAATAATTCTAACGACTTGATAGCGTGTAAAGTTAAATTAAAAGAGGGAGTTAATTAAGGCGAGAGATTCGCTAATTAGTCCTTGAAAACGACGTGCATCTGTTTAAATGAAACCGACGATAATTCTTCTCCATCCAAAAACGAGCACAAAGCACAAAGTTTATATAATATAATTCTTATCTAATAATAGATTAACTGATTTAAGTTTCCATTAGTCCGAGCAAACTACTCTAAAATGGTACAATCCCTTTTCCTAAACTTTTGACAAACATGACCTCAAAGCTCTCTTTATTGAAACGAAAACTTTCTCCATCACAAACTTACACGCCTTTCAACGATTCTCTTCACATTCATGGAATAGAGAAGGGGGGTAAAAAAAAGGCAAGCACAACAAAATATATAGCTAGGGAAATATAATTTGCCTGAAAAACACTCGCAGCCCAAAGAAAAACCATTCCGAAATGTGAAAACAAGGCAGCTAGGTACCTCAAAAACCACAAAAAATTAAACTTTGGGAGAGAGGAATCAAGGACATATTTCCATACCAACATGCGTGCTACCTCGGCTCAATGCGAGTGAGCGTAACCTCATTCACAGAATGAACCTTCTCCGAACAATTTGTGCCCGATGAAGACCCCTCCAATTCAAAGGGCCGTCCTCTACCGAAAGATGGGGGCGTGGTCGGAGGAGAGAGCATCACTTGCTCGCTTCGCAGCATCATAATGACCGAAGACATCGTAGGCCTGTCCTCTGGATTATCTTGAACGCACAACAAACCTACGTGAAAACATCTCCAAGCTTCCTCCATCAAGTAGGAGTCCTCCAGCGTGCGATCCATGAAATGCATCGCTCCTCTTTCGTTCCACAGTTTCCATGCCTGTTCGAAGCGCATTTCATCGTTGAGAAAGATATATATGCAGAAAGATTGACCGACCAAATTTTGCACGATTTGGGTAGCACTGCAGTTTTATTTATTCTTGCAAGTAGTCCTTCTCAAATTTTTTTTTTGACTCTTTTATTCTGGGTGAAAATGATGTTGTTGTCCATGAGTGAACTTATGAAACTACACGGATATATAGTAAGTTCAAACAATAATGCTACGGGGATCTACATGCAATTAACCATTATAGAGATGCAGAGTTTACGTGTATAAGGAGAGTTTGGCCTTGCTCTTGAAGATAGGCTGCCCCGTTCCGTTGACCGCTCAGAATCTCTAGTAGAAGAACTCCGAAGCTGAATACATCAGACTTTACGGAGAAAACACCTTCCATTGCATATTCAGGAGCCATATATCCACTATTTACACACAACAAATATTACGACGACGTCAGAAATATTTGATCGTTTTGAACTTACTACCCCTCGAGCCTTATTTTTGCAGACAAACTCCCTATTTGATCAGTTTTTTTTTTAGAAAAGATATTGCATTCAAGGGTCTATCTGAAAAAAATAAACTAGAGGCAATAAGTTCAAGACAACGATCGATGCTACAGGAGCTAGCTCTATCGGCAATTAAGCTAGCCTATTAAAAATTAGTACCATGAGTTCAATTTGAACAATGTATATCAGGCTATAACGTTAATTCTTAACAATTCACTTACAAAGTTCCGACAACTCTGCCAATCTCCACCTCGCTCTCCTCCCCCTCGAAAATCTTCGCCATCCCAAAATCCGATATCTTCGGATTCATCTCATTATCAAGCAGAACATTGCTCGCTTTGAGATCCCTATGAACTACTTTGAGCTGAGAATCCTCGTGAAGGTACACGAGTCCTCGAGCAATCCCTACGATAATCTGATGCCTCCTCCTCCAATCCAGCTCGCATTTCTTCCTCGAATCTAAAAATTTAAGTCGGCAACGTCGAACCCATCGATCAGTACTCGAAACAGATTGAATTGAATCGGGCGGTTTTTGAGGAGAAGCGATTACCGAAGAGAAACGCGTCTAGGCTCTTGTTGGGCAAATACTCATAGACGAGCAGCTTCTCCTTCTCGTGCGCGCAGCATCCTAGCATTCGCACTAGATTTCTGTGCTGAAGCTTCGCGATGAGCTCGACTTCGTTCTTGAATTCTACGGTCCCTTGCTTGGATTTCGCCGATAGCCTCTTGACCGCTATTTCCTTCCCTCCCGTGAGCACTCCCTGAATTATTTTCGAAGATTTGGACATTGAAATAAGAATGTCAAACTGCACATAACCTGGATTATCTGCAATTTATCCAAATAGGAGTATATTTATTGGGTTTTTCTTACTCTGTAAACAGGGCCAAATCCACCCTCTCCGAGTTTATTTTCTTCAGAGAAGTTATCTGTAGCTTCTTGGATGGTGCAGAGCTCCATAAACGGCAAGTCTGAGCTCGGTAGAGCTTGGGCCCTAGCCACCAAAGCTTTTCTAACAGCTGCAAGAAGAAAAAAAAAAGGATAAAATTACTTTTTCCATACTTGAACAAAAATCAAGTTAATTTTGTGGGGGAGAAAAAAAAGATACCATTTCTCTTCCTCCATCTCCAACACCATAAACAATAGAGACAAGTGCAAAATATAACCACCACGAGGATTGAAGCCATATGTTAACATCATAATTATATTAAAAAAAGTAAAATAGGATTATGTAAGTATACTCACCTCCATCAGTTGGTGGAGATGCGGATGACTTTAGTAGCCGACGATACGAAGCTAGATGAATATCGAGATCACTGGAGGCAACTAAAGGATGCATTGAAGCGGAGAAGAATGACAGAGAAATGTAAGAATTATGTTCGCTTTGATCTTCTCATTAAATGGTTTTATTTGGTACGCAGTGTTGGCTGGTGTGAACTTGATGCGGAAAAACAAGAACCGACGTGAGAGAGTTGTGGGGTCTGAGGTTGACAATTGAGATCAAATCATGGGAGACATATGCTTTGGTGTCAAAATTCTTCTAAATTCAGACATTTTCTTTTTTTTTTGTTTTGTTCTGTGTTTTTCCTTTTTATTTTTTTATTTTCGTGTGTGCGCGTGTGTGGAGGAAACAGACTATATTGAATCTGAATCGTCCTCTATATATTGGTTCAAAATCGCGTCAATCTTAGTGAAGAAATGCATCACAGAGGAAATACATGATTAAGATAAAATGCATATTTCGAAACCCCTCAGGTAATTAAACTTTCCTCGGGTTAGCGCCTGCCGGCCAGCACGAGCGGGGATTAGTCATCCAATAGGGTGGAAAAAGGTATATTAATTCATGGACAAGTTTCACAAAGCCCCTTTTAAGTTTAGAACCTTACTAAACTTCATAAATGACATTAAAACTCCCTTAAGTTTAGACATTTCAATGAACCCCCCAATGTTTTTAAGTTTAGCAACGCTGATAGCAAATACACCCAGCAAAAACTTAGTCCCCCAACCGAAAAAGTAATTTAATTAAAATGGAATAAAAAAATAAAATAAAGTTTTCGACCTCTTGGGATTTGGGGTTAAAATGCTAAAAAGGAGCGTGAAAAGATTTTATCCATCAAAGACATTCTAGTTATTTGGACTCATTTGACTTTTACATGCACAACCAGATATAATTCTGACAATGTTAGCTAGGGAATTATCTGAAGAAACATCCAAAAAGGACCAAACTTAAGTAGGGGGTTTTGCGAAATTCACCCTCAATTTACTCGTAATTGAGCTAAGCTACCTCATATACCTATGAACTCATGGCACGACTAGATTAACAATCATAACTTTTGCAATTCAAGGTCCAAACCACGAACTTTTGTCGGGTTCTATCGGGTTACTGGAATCTTCCGTCATCAGCCTCACCCGTTTCGTGTGGTCAACTTTGGAGGTGGAAAGGTTAGATCGAAGCGTGGAAATTTTGAAGAACTAGAGGCGTAGAGTAATCTAATCCAGAGATCTTTTGGTGGGGGGGCACGCCCATCACACTAACAATAGGAAATTTTTTTAAAAACAATTATTAACGGAGGACAAGAATCTTTTAACGAGGGGGGTTTGTGATGTTCGCACCCCTGGCAATTAAGTAATTAATTATTAGTTAATCAGTGAGGACAGTTACGTTGAGCATGGTGAGTTGTACTCTTTAATTTATAGATACTAGTTTTTACACACGTACAATGCACGTGATTTAATACCATGAGTATTTTTGGCAGTTTGTGCTCATTTTTTTCTTTAAACTCTTACATCCCGATTATTTTTTTATGTTTGTTTAAATAGGATACACCCAATTTAAATTTTCATGTTGATATTTGAATTGACAAAAGACAAATATAATTTAAAAATAATTTGAATTTTTATATTATTTTTGACCGATATGAAACTAAGCTTTATTTGAGAAAGTATAGCATTGCAAAGTAAAAAATATTAAAATAGTGTTATACAAGGAAGGTGACTATTTAAAACTAATATGGCAAAATGATTGATTTAAAATATGTTAAAACGATGCAAAAGAGAATATGAAGTTTATTCCTAATCATTGATAGACTTCATAAAAAAATATAAATTAAAGATTAATACTAACTCTAGTATACTTTTATATGATAAAAACATCCACATAAGAATATAAAAGTACTGAAAAAAATTCATGAAACTCCCTTCTAAAGATTCCTAATTTCACTCAAAATAATTAAACTATTCTATAAAATATTCATAAAATATTGTTTTTATTTCTTCTATTTTATTTTTTATTGAGTTAAGATCAATCCTTCTTCAGGTTTATCATTTATCATTTCTCGGACAATTCTAAAGTATTTTCTTCATCATCTATATCAATTGTGACATCAGGTTAATTTTGTATTTTTTTTATGCTATTATCTTTCCTGGGCTCGTTAATTTTTTATCATCTCATTTAACTTTACAAAGAAGTCAAATGTACTTATGATATTCAACACAAACTGCTCAAAATATAGACTTTGATTTTTTTTTTCTATTTCAATAAGAATAAATATTAATTTCATATATATAAAATTCTTTGTGATCCTAATTTATTACTTAAATAAATTAGAAGCTATGTCTTTATTTTCCTCTAAAATGAATTCTTCTGATGTGCATCCAATAAGAATTTCTGTTATTTCAATAATATTACCTTTGCTCTATCCCTGTCATTTTCCATAAAGATCTAAACTAAATACCTGCATTATTCATTACCAATTTCTCTTAGATTATAATATTAATATTTAATTTGAAGAACACAGTATGGAATTTATGAATACTTACTAATTTTTCTTATGTCTTCCATGGAGATTTTTTCTTTGATTAGGATAAAGTTATTAAATTATTTTTTAATGTAACTCATTCAGTGCTTCATTAATAGATATGTCTTATGTTAATGCCAATTCAAGTGATTCATTGACGTTTTCTGAATTTTAGATTTATTTCCATCACTTTCCCATTTGCAATGGAAATAACTCAATTCTTTTAAAGTTATCTCTAAATATTCTAATAGTTTCTCCATATGTAATTCCTTGTATTCTTTTACCCTATAAATATTATTAACGTCAAAGATTAAAGTTTCTAAATTAAAATCAATTAATGCTAAGGTATAATATTATAGTGTTTTATCATTTCTATGGATTTAAACATCTATCAATTAATGTTACGAATGTATTTTGGCTACCCCAACTTATTACTAAAATTATATGAAATTATTTTAATTTATATGGTGCCGATAATTTTTAATTTATAATATTTTTAAAAATTTTATCCATTAACCGGATGTTTTTAATTAATTCTTATTGTTTTTGTTTACCAGTATCAACTTAGACTATTCTTAGATGCTAAAAATGGATAGTAAATCCCTAAATTAGAAATTTTAATATATATATATATATATATATACTTAGACTATTCTTAGATGCTGAAAATGGATAGTAAATCCCTAAATTAGAAATTTTAATATATATATATATGAAAAATACCAAACAATTACACTTTTCTTTGCCAAGTTTTAAAATTTTAGCCCATTTTTGTGGTTTTGAACTTTGAGGGTGTGATTTATAATTTTTAAAATTTTGAAAGAGTTTTTAAAAAAATTTACTTTTAAGTTTGGTAGTTGTAAATTCTATGTTTCATGTGTTGGTGGTAATTTTTTAAATGTTAGTATATTTCTTGTAACTCTAAAATTTTGAGGGTGTCTTTTGTAATTATTAAAACTATAGATTAATTTTTAAAAATATTAAATTTCAGCGGTCTACCAATCGACGAATTTGATGTGTGCTAGTTAAAATTTTTGAAATTTTAGAGTTTTTTTTACGATTTTTAAATTTTGAAGGAGTTTTTAAAAAATTTTGAGGTTAATTTTGGCAAATTTTAATTTTTTAGGTATCTAAGGGTAATATCTTGAATTCATCTTATGTTATTTATAAATTTTAGAATTTTAGGGTGGCTTTTTATAATTTGAACTTTTGAAGGTGTTTCTATAATTTTTGAGATATTGAGGGTGTTAATTAAAAATTTTAAATTTAAATGTCAAAAATTTTAGGTGTATCATGGTAATCTCTTGAATTTATCTGTGTTGTTTGTAAGTTTTAAAATTTTGGAATTTTAATGTGCTTGTCTGTAATTTAAACTTTTGAGGGTGTTTCTATAATTTTTGAGACATTGAGGTGTTAACTGTAAAATTTAATTTTTTTGCAAACTGATGTTAATTTTTTAATTTCATGTTTTTTATTTTAAGTTTTGAGACATTTGGATGAGTTTTATAATTTTGAACTTTTCAGGGTCTTTTCTGTAATTTTAAAACTTTTTATGGTTTTTTGCAATACTTCATGTATTATAATATGCTATCTACTTATAATTTCTTTATCTTAACAAACTAATATCATTTTTATGTTTTATATTTTTTATTAATATTAGTTTTTTTAAATTGTTAAGCTAAACATGGTTCACATAGGATTAGGATAAGATATGATTATGATTAGGATAGATTAAGATATAAATAAAATATTCAAAATAGTGAAGAGTAATATTGACTATTGAAAATTAGAATTTGATTATAGATAAAGTAGTTCAAACTATAAATGGGTATATTTGTCTAAAAAAGATTTTCGGAACTCGTGCTTTTAAAGGGAGTATGATATAATATAATATGAGCCCTCCATTTTCAAAGATTAGATCAAGAAGTTGTTTCTGACACGTAACGTCTATTCTAATGTGAGAACTACTGTTATCGTAACTATAAATTTGTTAGCCGCTATATAACTAATTAGATAGAAGGGTAATAATTGAATACATTTCACGTGAATTATATATCTGACACATAGCGGCTCTGTTTGGCAAAACTAAGTTGAAAGCTGCGAGATTATAGCTGAAAGCTGTTAAGCTAGCTGAAAGCTGTGAAATTGTACCTGAAAGCTGATAGTTGTGTAACTAGCTGATTGACTAGAGCTGTTTGGCAAAAGTAGTTGTACAAATAGCTTAAATTTGTTAAATGACTAAAAAGGACATGCAATATTATTGATATAAAATTAGAATTATTAGGGGCAAAAACGAAAGAAAAAAATTTGGTAGCTCCTTCCCAAAGACAAACGCTACTTGAGGTAGCTTTCCAAAAGCTACTTGCAAAAGACACAATCTCCAAAATAAT